CACACAGCTTTGTGTTGTCAGCGGACTTGCTAGGAGTGCACTCAATCCCACTGTCCATGTTGCCAACAAAGATGTTAAACGGCACTGGTCCCAATACCAGCCCCTGAGGAAGGCCGCTTGTCACTGGTTTCCACTGGGACATCGAGCCATTGACTGTGATTCTCTGAGTGCAACCATCCAGCCAATTCCTGATCCACTGGGTAGTCCATCCGTCAAATCCATGTCTCTCCAGTTTAGAGACAAGAATGATTACATATAGTATATAATATAATGATTATATAGTAGATGTAGAAAGACAGTGTGATGTCCTCTACACTTACTGCTAAGAGAGGGGATTTGGCACCTTTTTCTTCTGTGGAGACATGTGACATCAAGTTCGCTCTCATGTAGGTGTAACAACTTGAACTGTCCATTTTATGGTTTTAATGCTTGTTCTTGCCCTACACTAGGTATCAGTGCTGAGACTCTCACCCCTGCTCTACAAGTTCAGTTAGTTGTTCCTGTTAAAGCTTACACTTCTCCCTGGCCTGGCAGGGCTGATGTTATGTGTTAAATCCTTAACTCTGGATACGATTAATACTTTGTTGATAAAGTTGCTGGGACTGGAAGTCTGAGCATTGGTTAGGTACAGACTGTATGTGAGAATGGGTGGATTTGTTGTGGGGTTTCTTTTTGCTTTGTTTTGTTTTTTTTTTAAAACTGTAGTAATTACTAGTTCTAATGTGAAATCAGTCTTACTGTTATACAGCATTCCTTTGTCAGTCATTTTGGCAATGGGTGTGGTATCTAGTGCTACAGAACTAAACTTGACAGTTTCAGGAACTTTAAGAACCTAAACGATAATTAAGTTGAAGAAAACATGAGAGAATAATTTTAGGAAAAGAAAGAGGGAGGGGATGTGGCTTATTTTGATTCTTGATTATCTTTTTTTTTCCTTTTAAAATGTTACAGACAGAGTAGCATTTTATCTGAAGTAGAGACCAAGCCCTAACTCACTAAGATAAGGAGTTAATAATAATTACTCCCAATGGAAGTTGCTTAAAAAAAATAGAAATGGACAAAATAAACCCTGTGAGCAAATAGTCCATGGGTAGTACCGATCATTAATACTAAAGAGCAGAGACAGGCAGAGTTGTTTTTTTTCCTGAGGGCTCTTTGGGAGCCGCAGCAGTTCTGACTTGAAATTTGATATGACTATTTTTTCCCCCCTCGTCTTGCCAAGCTCAGTGGAATCTGGTTCAGCTATTCCACTTAGCCCAAATGTCTAGTATACTAGTGCCATGCTTTTGAGATCATTACCTTTCTTTTGTTATCTTTTAAAAATTACTACTTTTCTGTTTGGTAACTGTGCTAAGTACATTTTTATCTTAATGGTATCAGATTATTCTTGGATTATGGGAAAGGAAAACATTTGTCACATCATTTAGTTTTGATTTGCTACTACCTTGCCCCTTAAACAGTCAAGTTTAGTTTTTATTTATATGCATATTTAAAATAAATAGTACAGGGAAATTGTTTGGAGATAAAAAGTACAGTAGAAAACCACATTTTTATTTTTACTATCTAGAGAACAAAGTGAGATTTGGGGGAAATATTTAAACTTCTGAGTTGGGATCAATAATGTAACGATAGTCTGGATAAGAAAAATATGCACTGAATTATTATTTTGTACAATAAAGAATATTGAAGGTACTGAATCCTATTCAATATTCAGCGTTTGAGTTCAGACAGAGGTTGTCTAGCTCTTGAGGAAAAAGTAATAAATGCAAAAGCAAAATGTTGACAGCCATGAGAACAGTGTATTTAAATGATAGCTTGAAACGTGTTTGTTGATCATATGAGTAAGTTTAGTCAGCCACCATTAATAAAATATTAGTGGAATCTAAAGTCTCATTTCAAGTTCCATTACAATCTGGTTAAAAACGACTGACACTAATTTATTTTTGGATAGAGGGGAAAAATATACTCAGAATACTCATTGCTTACTACCAGTTCTTAAAAATCCAGATTAATGTTGCCTTAGGTGTAAAGCATATGTTATTTGGTCAGATCTGTTATAAACTCCAGTCACAAC